AAAAAATGTTTTAAATAAACAAGTTTTAAAAGGAATTGCGTCTTTGCATCAAACTCAAATTTTTAATCACAATATATTTGCGACCGAACAGTTTACACCTTTATTTATTTCAAGTTTAGACTCTTTGATCCAAAAGAATTCAAAGTTTGATATATGATATAAGTACAAAAATATGTAGAGATTAGAAAATTAAAGTTTGCGACGAAGACTTACTTCCTTTAAGAAACCTTTTAGACTTTTGTGTAACCCCTTAATAGTCCCCTTAATAGTCCCCTTAATAGTTTTAAAATGTTTTAAAATTTCAAGTCAAACTAAATTAAATTGCACGTACGATTGAGATGTTATATGTTTTCAACCATACCTCCTCTTAGGAGAAGAACAACAATGTTTAATATTTTCTAATGTGTAGGGCCAAACCTTTTCATATACTTATGCATAAAATCGAAACTAGAGGTCACAAAGTCCTACCAGTAATTAAACCTTCTCTCATTCTCTCTAGTGTCTAGTTCACTGTGTTCCAATAGTTCATATTTTTGTCTCTCTTTTTCTTTTTATATATAATAATAAATACGAAACCAAGATTATTACAAGGAGGTTGAAAGTAATCAGAGATTTTCTATGAAAAACCTATTTCCGTAAATATCATGCAATGTATTATTTTTGATCACGCACATGGGGGATTGAAAATTTAAAAGATTCAAAAATAAAATGCTAAAACGAATCTTTACAAATGAACTTGCGGATTTTTGCAGAATAGACTCCGAAGGAAATATCCTCCTAAGTTCCTAATGAAAAGAGTTGTAAATAGGACATGTCCAAGGTTATAATGCAAGGAAAGTTTTTTCAGAGGTGTACGCATCTTTTGTACTGCAGTGTACAGTCTCTGGGCGGTAATGCAAACACAAGACGGATGTGGAAGCCTGACATGGGATCCTTCTTTCACATAAAAAATCAATGAAATATTCTGTTCATAGGAAACTATTATGTGAATTATCAAAATTATCAAAATTGAATGCTTTTAACCTCCTTGGATACTAAACGAACACTGATGAATCTATTCTTGCTTACCGCCCAGAGAGAACTGTTTTCAATATGTGCGCAGAGTATACGCAACTGCAATTAACTTTCCTTGCATTACAAGCTTGGGACATGTCAATGTAAAATAAAGGGAAGGTGGCTTGAAATGAAGACGACAGTTCCTTTAATCAAGTCGTTTATAATAATTTCCTAGACTTTTAAAAGGTATTTAGCCTGGGGTGTTCATCTAATGGAAAATCCTAGTTCCTTAATATATTGTACAGTTAGCAGCCTTCCTTCAAACTATAAATTAATCAACAAGGAGGNAGAAGTTATTAAATATGAGTGTAAAGCAATTCAAAATTAGTTAAGAGTAATTAAATAGAAGTTAAAAGTAATCAAATAGGAGTTTATAGTAATCAAATAGAAGTTTTTAGTAATCAAATAGAAGTTTATAGTAATCAAATAGAAGTTTATAGTAATCAAATAGAAGTTTATAGTAATCTAATAGAAGTTTATAGTAATCAAATAGAAGTTTATAGTAATCATATAAAAGTTTATAGTAATCAAATAGAAGTTTATAGTAATCAAATAGGAGTTAAAAGTAATCAAATAGGAGTTTACAGTAATCAAATTAAAGTTTATAGTAATCAAATAGAAGTTTATAGTAATCAAATAGGAATTTATAGTAATGAAATAGGAGTTTATAGTAATCAAATAGAAGTTTATAGGAATCAAATAGAAGTTTATAGTAATCAAATAGAAGTTTATAGTAATCAAATAGGAGTTTATAGTAATTAAATAGGAGTTTATAGTAATCAAGTAGGAGTTTATAGTAATCAAATAGGAGTTTATAGTAATCAAATAGAAGTTTATAGTAATCAAATAGAAGTTTATAGTAATCAAATAGGAGTTTATTGTAATCAAAAAGGAGTTTATAGTAATCAAATAGGAGTTTATAGTAATCAAATAGGAGTTTATTGTAATCTAATAGGATTTTTTTGTAATCAAATAGGAGTTTATTGTAATCAAATAGGAGTTCAGCTTTAGAGTAATGGACCGATTTAANAATTTTGTTGAATGATTTTGCTAAGGTGAATATGATGCCGTTGCTCCGACAAATTTTGTTGAATGATTTTGCTAAGGTGAATATGATGCCGGTGCTCCGACAAATTTTGTTGAATGATTTTGCTAAGGTGAATATGATGCCGGTGCTCCAAAAAATGTTGTTGAATGATTTTGCTAAGGTGAATATGATGCCGGTGCTCCGACAAATTTTGTTGGATGATTTTGCTAAGGTAAATATGATGCCGGTGCTCCGACAAATTTTGTTGGATGATTTTGCTAAGGTGAATATGATGCCGGTGCTCCAACAAATTTTGTTCGATGAAAATTTGAAATTTCTTGGAGTGTGGGTTTTAGTATTTTTATCAAAAAAGTTCTTGACCCAACGTGTTTTGTCCATGAGACTAGTAAAAAAAAGTTTCTTCATCTGACTGAAACAACTGGTTAAATTTACAAACAACTTTACCAGTTATTTAAAAATTGCACACCGCAAAATGTCTCATTTAAATAAATCATAAGTCACGAATAAAAAGTCAAACTGAAAGAATACCTGTCATATAATTTTCTTGTCTGTTAAAATTAGTATTTATTCATTTTTAGAAAAAATACCTTGTAGTAGAGCCGAAGAGTGCTGCCCAGCTGAACATAGAAGAAGGTTCCGGTTCCTCGACTACCACTGTTTGCTGGGCACCTCGACCACCCCGACCAGTCGTCTATATCATGTCAAGGTCATCAGAAAATTTACAGAAGCTTAATTACGAAAAATGAATGAGGGGTTTGATTGATATACAGCTGTTAGACTCGACACCGCGCGGGAAACTGCAATTTCGTGTTTCATCATGGACCAACCAGTGTCCGAATTTAATGAATTTAAGACGCGTCTTAAATCACCCAAAAACCGGTTTCAATTGAGCGTCGGCTTAAATCTTGAAAAACTTGATACAATTTTAAGTGGAATCAATCATAATTGAGCCGCGGTTTAAATTTAAGCCACCGCTCAAATTCTTTGAATTCGGCATCAGATCTCTAGATGCGGTTTATTTGAGTTAAATTTAATCTTGCTTTGATGAATTTTGAACTGTTAAGGATTCGCACGGAATTGGAAATCGGTAAATATTTTGATCTGAAAGTATATTTGGGGTTGATATTCACAATACCATGGATATATAACAATATAATATAAAAATACTTGAAAATTTATTTGGTATGCTATACCGTTTTAGCCTTCTATAGTCTGTTTTTATACTGTACTTCTTGCCCTAAAGCTTCCTTAAAGTCTGGTACTACAAATGAACACAGTGCATTAGATATAATACAACTAAACCAGAAAACTCTGGAATAGAAGGCCGACTTTCAGACTCAACTTAGGACTTTAAATAATCAATTAAAGGTTAGACACAGCAATTGTGAAGTATATAAAGACATACCTGTTTTACTTAAAAATGATTTATGAAGTTACTATTAAAATTATTTGTTTTGTAACAAAAAATTTAATAATTACTATAATGTCGTCTTCCTAATATAGAGTTCTCTGGTTCTACACTTCTCACTGTATAAAGACGACTAAAAAAATAATCTTAAGGGTGTTAAAAAACACTCTGTACTTTTTTCTCTCACAAGCTTATTTTTTATCCGATCAAATTGAAATTTATATCCTAGCATCTCTAGGACGTTAGGACTGTGGTTAAACAAGTATCGGATTTCTTCAACGAGGGAGGGGTGGCTGCTCTCATGGGTTTTGAATTGCTCCCATGATCGCCACAGACTAATTGAACTGAAATTTGCGACCTTTCATCAAAAATCGGATAAATTTTCACATTTTACTCCAAAACCCTGGGAGCACTCCAAAACCCTGGGAGCAGCCACCCCTCCCTCTGTTAACCCTGCTCTCTATAAATGCTCTTTATGCCTTGGGAAAGGATTAGATCAGCCTATCGGATGGGTTTTTCTATTCTCGCCACACTGCTTAAGATGATTATCATCCCCAATAGATAATTAGTATTTAATCAGAGTAGTGTTGTCTAAATCCGATATTTTTTTAACCATGAAGTCCTAATTGATCCTAGAGACATTGTGATATGGATTTCATTGTACATTTAATAGTACAGTCTAACTCTGTGGGAGGAGAAAAAAGTATAACTTTTTTTTAATTCCCTTTAGCTTTCAAGCCGCAGAACGCTAGGATTTGAAGAAATCAGACAGAGGCCAAATTTAAAGAATTTGAGCCGCGGCTTAAATTTGAGACGCAGCTCAAATATGGTTGGTCCCACTTAAAATTGTATTCAATGTTTTAAGATTCAAGCTGGCGCTCAATTGAAACCGGTTTTTGGCAGATTTGAGACACGGCTCAAATTCATTAAATTCGGACTCAGAATGCGAAAATGCAGTTTATTCCTCATTCCAAGTTTGGTTCATTTTAAAAATAATATTAAAACAAATTATGATTTTCTGACAAACTGGTTTTAATTTATAAACAGATATACTCCAGGGAAATGACAGGATCATAAAATACAGGGTATACTCCAGGGAAATGATAGGATCATAAAATAAGGGTAATCCAGGGAAATGATAGAATCATAAAATACAGGGTACTCCAGGGAAATGATAGGATCATAAAATAGAGGGTATACTCCAAGGAAATTATAGGATCATAAAATACAGGGTATACTCCAGGGAACTGATAGGATCATAAAATACAGGGTATACTCCAGGGAAATGATAGGATCATAAAATACAGGGTATACTCCAGGGAACTGATAGGATCATAAAATACAGGGTATACTCCAGGGAAATCATAGGATCATAAAATACAGGGTACTCCAGGGAAATGATAAAATCATAAAATACGGGGTATACTCCAGGCCCAGGGAAATGATAGGATCATAAAATACAGGGTATACTCCAGGGTCTTAAATAAAATGTACATAATCAAAATTGGCCTTTAATTTTAGAATGTAAATTAAGCCCCTTCAATCAACTCCCTGGATTTCTGATTGGAAATCAACCCTCATTTTATCTATGTATGAATTGGAAATCAACTATTACTGGATTTATAATTGGAAATCAAACATCCCTGGATTTTTAAGTGTAGATCAACCATCCCTGGATTTCTGATTGGAAATCAACCATCCCTTGATTTCTGATTGGAAATCAACCGCCCCTGGATTTCTGATTGAAATCACTCATCCCTGGATTTCTTATGGTAAATTAACCATTCCTGGATTTATAATTGGAAATCAACCATCCCTGGATTACTGAGTGTAAATCAACCATTCCTGGATTTCTGTTTTGAAATAAACTATACCTGGATCCTTGGATTGGAAATCAACCCCATGGATTTCTGATTGGAAATCAACCGCCCCTGGATTTATGATTGGAAATGATTCATCCCTGGATTTCTTATTTGGAAATAAACCATCCCTGGATTTCTTATTGTATATCAACAATTCCTGGATTTCTTTTAGGAAATCAATCCCCTGGAATTCTGATAGTAAATGAACCCTCCCTGGATTTATGGATTGAAAATGAATCCCCTGGAATTCTGATAGCAAATGAACCCTCCCTGGATTTATGGATTGGAAATCATTCCCCTGTATTTCTGATTGTAAATGAACCCTCCCTGGATTTATGGATTGGAAATCAATCCCCTGCATTTCTGATTGTAAATGAACCCCTCCTATATTTATGGATTGGAAATCAATCCCCTGTATTTCTGATTGTAAATGAACCCTCCCTGGATTTATGGATTGGAAATCAACCATCCCTGGATTTCTGATAGTACATGAACCCTCCCTGGATTTATGGATTGAAAATCAACCATCCCTGGATTTCTGATAGTAAATGAACCCTCCCTGGATTTATGGATTGGAAATCAACCATCCCTGGATTTCTGATTGAAAATGAACCCTCACTGGATTTATATATAGTATTAAGGATAGAATATCTCCCTGGAGAGATATAATATCAAACACAAAAAGAAATCTGATGAAAAGGGTCAGGGGAGAGATCTAACTAACAACCAATACAAGTTAGGATTTATGGATTTATGGATTTATGGATTTAGATATTTAAAAAAAAATTCGTATTTCAAGAGGCAATATTAAGGTTTCTGTGTTCATTTTAAAATTTCTCACTTTTCACAATTCAAATATTTCCCTTTTAGGGTGATAAAGTCACTATATCGCCCTACAACAGGGCTTTAAAGTAACTTTATCAACCTGCTACCCCTTTTTCCGAATTTTTTTCCAGATTATTAAAGTAGAGCCTATGGGCTTTCTTGAAAATTATCATATGTTATAGATTTGTATCACAATGAGGACATAGAGGGGGGGGGGGGTTCCTGGGCCCCCTGAAAATTTTTTGGGAAACCAGACGTCAGCCTGAAAAGGGTTAAATAAGTTAAGTAAAATTTAAAAAATAAGTTTTTTATGTTCTTGCAATGCGTGCGAAAAAAAATTTTACCGGGATTTTTTCTTTTTATTTGTGGTTTGTTTGATGTGTAAATAAAGGATCTCTAGAAAATACTTTCATTTTGATAGAAAACAAACTAAAAACAATGAAAATCATAGAAAAAATTTCAATTACAGTTTACCAATTACAAGTATTTTTGTTCATAAATAAATGAGTTCGTCAAAGGTAAAAAGAGTACTGTTGTGAATTGGTTACGTGTCATTAAATCAAGTTCATCCATTTTTTCGCGACCTAATTCTAATATAGATTGAATAGTGTTGTAGCAATCTATAATATATATTTATATATAGTTGTTGGTCTGTCCGTTTGTGTCCAATAAACGTCAAAACGACCAAACTTATCCACCCCAGACTGACCAGGTTTCTTCTATTTGTCAAATTGTGATCGAAAGTCACAGTTCCGTGGGATAAGGATCGAACCCTTTAATTCGGGTGGATCGGGTCCACATTTTGTGTGGAACCTCACATGACCCTGGAATGGTTTATGGATACTCAGAATTACAAAACATTGTCTCCAAAAATTAGTTTTTCTTGAAATTGAGAAAATTCTCAAAACAAAATTTAATCTGCGACATTTCTTATCATTATTAATCCAAGATAAATAAAGTTGAAACAGAAGATGGGCGCGAGGCGCCCTGATAGTCTGGTATCTCAAAAACAAATAGAGATAATTTAATTATTTTGTAAATTCCATGACATGCCTGAGGTCGTCTTCTTTCTCCAGGTAGAGGTGGAGGAGGGGGTTCCTCTCCAAAAATACAAGCGCATGGGTTTATTAACAGCTCATCTAACCCTAGACATTTAACCCTTTAGTCCTGGGCAGTGAGGAGGGAGGGGGGGGGAAAAAGTGATTTNCTACTGTATTCTACCTGTAGACTCTACTGTATTCTACCTGTAGACTTTACTGTATTCTACCCGTAGACTCTTCTGTATTCTACCTGTAGACTCTACTGTATTCTACCAGTATACTCTACTGTATTCTACCTGTAGACTCCAACCAGCCTGTGAAGGTTGATGAATTAGAGATTGTATTTGTCCCTCCTGGCATCCTTCTCTCCTCTGCAATATTAGACAGAGTTAACTACAAAAGATAAGAATTTAAAGACGACCTGAAACTGTTACTCCGGTTCATTTTAAGAACCGAGCCGACTTGTGATCAGCTAGGGCTAGCTGTACAGTACAATTAGACTAAGTTAGGCAAACTGGGATAGTGCGCCAAGATTCTGAAGGAGTCCGCTTCATTTTTAAATCTGATAAAATATTTAGTTTCTTTTTATAATTAAGAGTTACCAGCATTTTAAATGTAAATTTGTAATCTCTCCTCCATTTTAAATGTGAATTTGTAATATCTCCTCCATTTTAATTGTAAATTTGTAATCTCTCCTCCATTTTAAATGTGAATTTGTAATCTCTCCTCCATTTTAAATGTGAATTTGTAATCTCTCCTCCATTTTTCAGATTCCAAAACTACACCACTCTTAAAGTTGCTTGATCCGTGCAGGTCCAACACGTACTGTATAGGCATTCAGTCGTACTGTCCAGTCAAGCTACCCATTGTAGAGTCGACCCAGCATGTTGTATGCAAGAAATGCATCCTGACAAGAAGCAAGATCACAGTTAGACTGCAAACCACATTTTGAAAAGTATCGAGAAAAAAACATATTTCGATGTAGTCACATAATGTCATGGATATTGTGACACCCTGTGTATAAAGTGAAGAAATGGCAAATCACTTTTTACTCTCCTAAAAAATTAACAATTCTCTACTCAACAACTTCAGCTATTTCTGAATGAAAGACGGTGGAATATTATTTTATTTAAAATTGTTCTATTTTTCTGTCAAAAGTGTTTAGATATAAACCTTAGCAAAGTTTATATTTCAATATACCACGCTTATATAAACTGTCAATTTTCACTTATATTTAAATTTCAGTTTAGAGCCTTCTGTATTGGATCATGAATGTTTAAGAAGTCAACAATTAACTTAGTTGAGTTTAATTCTTAGATATTTTTTTAAGATTAAAGTTATTTTTGAAATTTTATGTTTTTATGAGATAGAATCTTATAAAACATAAATACAGGGGATATTAGTTCCAAAACTAACACTTGGTCCATTTCTAACACTGAGTGTTAGAAATGGGACAAATCTGCAAACTTATCTTTTTAAAGAGTATGTCTTTAAATCCAAGACGAGTAGAACAAAATTACACCATATATTTATAAAAAATGGTTAAAACTGTATATTGAACCAATAAATGTAAATTTTAAACTTATAATAAGGTGTGAGAATTAGTTTTAGATGATTGTTGATTTCATTTTCGAACATATCCCTATTTCGAAACAATTACCGGATTTCAGCTCATGTCGCGTTTTCGGAACATATCCTGGTTTTGAGACAATTACGGGAATTCATATCAATGTCAATTTTTAAGCATTTACGCGCTTAACAAAACAAGATTTTTTGATAAGGTAAAATATAAACAAAATATGAAATAAAAACAAACTGAGATGGGAACTTTTGAATGGGATATCCTTAATCCTGATCGGATAATTAATCTGGAGATTAAAAATGAGTGGAGAACAAGCAATATTTAATCTGCAGATTAATTAAAAGAGTGGAATAAGCCTTAATCACGATATCCACCATTCTAAACTTTTCAGCTCTGTTCTTCTATAATTTAAAAATCATTACAGCATTGAGATATGAAATATTAATATCATTTGTTCTTACAATATAGGATCAACTAGAAATGCGGGAAACTGTTTGTTTAAAATGTTTGAAAATAAATCATCGATATTCTCTAATTTAACAGATAATATGAGAAAACTTAGATTCTAATAATAATTCAGAAATTAATTTAGTCTTCATAAGATAATTTTTGGTTTGTGTGATTTAATTTGTAAGCTATGAGAGTGATTTTTGTTTTGAATTGTGGATTATACTCAAAAGAACTCCTATTATAATTTTGATTTAAAAAAAATTTAAAATTGGGAATTGTTGTCCTCGTCATGTTTAATAAAATTTTGGTTATAGTTTTTATTATCGACTTTTACTCTGCATATGGGCCGGGATTCCAAAAACCTATTTTTTCAATTTGTGCCCATTTCTAACAACCAGTGTTAAATATGGGCCAAGTGTTTTGGAACTAATGTCCGCTAAAATTTTAAACTTTATCAAAACAAATCTTTAATTATGGAATGATAAAAACTAAAAAGAATGGCGAGTAAGGCGCAACTAAGATATTTTTTAAAAAGAGGGGGGGCGAAGAATTTTTAGTGGGATAAAAAATCGGTAGTTGTGAACATTTTAATAAACATACAGGGTTAGCCACACAGGATGAGAATGTAAAGACGACATGAAATTCTACAAATATGACGACTTAAAGCTTGATTTTTGGTTTCTGCATTCAATTGCTTATTTGGATGGTTTACTAAATGTATGATTAAGTACAGAAATATGCCAGTTTTGGTCTAAATTCTCATCAATTTTCAAAAAATAAAAAAAAACTCCATACTTGCACAAAAAAAGTTAAACTTTTGCAACAGGCGCCGCAAATCACACTTTTTTTTGACTCACCCTGTATATATATATACTTATAGAAACTCTATTTCTTCTTAAGGTTGCCATGTTCTTCAGGCTGATAAAAGTGAAGAAATTGTAATATAAAATTATTGTCATTAAAATATTTTTTATTGTTTTAAAAGAAATTATTTATTTTAAAAGATTTTTGTATAATATAAATGCATCTTCCTATCATGTTTTAGGCTAAAAATCCGAAAATTTTATATTGAATGCATTTTATTCCTACTTCCGAATATATATTTCAGTTAATTAAATGTAATCATTAAACATTGTCCAGGATTGTTTGTACGTATCAGTATTGAATTGTTTAGACCAATTAGGCAAAAATAAAATGTGACTTGCGTTGAACGCGATAAATTAAAAGGTTAAAATAAAACATAATGGTCTCTAATATAAAACTTTTCTCATTTGTATCATTTGGAACTTAATTTGATTATAATTTTACAGCAAGCAGAGATTTTAGGATTAAAATATTCAAATATTTTGTTGATAGCTTCATTATATAACATTCCAATATTCCAAATATTGAACCTTGAAGCCTTTACATTATTCTTCAAATATCATTTAAAATATTAGCTATAGGTGATCTGGGGGAACATTGAATAAGGCATTACATATATTACAAAAATATATATACAGTGATAATAAGACTTCCATGTGGTTTAATGTAAATTTTCAAAATTAGAATAAATGGGGAAATATCATTGTTCAATCTTTAATCATCCCACTGTGGTCATGTGAATCTGATATATGCCAGAAAAAATGTGTGAAAAAACTGATGTATTTAATAGAAAAATAGAAAAAAAAAACTTTACTCAAGATTGGTTTACTTTCTTCTGTGCCGTCAATTTAAGTGATATTTGCAATTGCCTCAACTTTCTTTTTGCAGATATTTTGTTGTCATATGTCTATTTCTAATATTGACAAAACTAAAATATTGGCATGCATTTATGTTTCTTATAGAAAAAGTGCCGTAAAATATCATCATAGAATTAATTATCAGTGGAAGTCAATTATCTTATTCTCCTCTCGTTGACAAGGGTTATATTGTCTACCCAGTCACAATCTTGACATCTCCAAGTGGCTCCCTTCTTGGTCAAGTCTTTTAGTGAATCATTCAATGGTTGTTCCAAGACAAAAAGCCCAGCCCAACCTTCATATTTTCGATGATTTTCAGGTCGTCATTTAAAGTTTCTTTTCTGTGTGGGTAACCCTGTATGTAATTGAAACCTTTACTATATTGTATTTTCGGAAAATAACACAGAGAAACAACTAAATATATATATATATATGCAACGTATATCTATCAAATTAAAATTGTAGACTCTGAACTGAAACAAGATATCTCAAAAACAAATTTAACAAAATATTTTCGAAATCTCGACTTTAATCTCCAAGCATTGATCAGAGATTTGAATCCACGTAAAGGTACTGTAGACCATTTTTCTAGTGTTACACGGTCAGCTTGAGGATTTCTACTGCAGAGACAAATAAGAATAAATTTACAGAATTAAACACCATTGAAGATAGAACACCAAGATTATGTTTACATTCCCTTTAATGGAAACATCACAATTCCAGTGATTAAATTCAGAAATTTATTTAGGAGATTTTTGCATTGTTACCGCGAAACAATTAGTTTTTTTTTGAAATATTTCTCCAAAATATTAAAAAAGAATTAAGTAGAAAATTTGTTTAACATATTTCACATAAAATATTCATGAAAAGACAAATAACAAGAATATAATCAACATTTGCCTGTAACATCTTTGAAAATGAGCAAAATAAACAAATTCAGTTGGAAAAAGTTCTTTTTTAAACTTGAAAAATGACATTTTCCGAAATGAATTCTTATGCTGCATGAGTGAATTTAAAAAAAATTTAAATAAGATTTAAAAATCGTATTTTGAATTTGCTAAAAATGTGTTGCCGAAATGGTCCCATTAAACCAGAAAATATCTTGATATCCAATGTGGGCACTGTTAGATTGAGAATTAATGCTTACTTCTTCAGTTCAAGTTATCCCCGCAGGGTACGACTGTTACAAACAAAGAGAAAAGAATATATATTAGATGGGAATTTACTAGAAAAATGTTTAAAACGGCCATTTTGTTGTTCTGTTTCCATACTGCGGGTGTACTTCACATATTTATGCTATATAACCTTTTGGGCCCTGGAATATCATTTTATAGAAAATCTAAAATTAATATTAAAAGAAAACAAAATTATGAAATAACTGACCAATGATCATTTCACATAGACTCAATGCCTTTCACTTTACAAACGTTCATTTTCCGTTTAACTATAAATCAAATGATGTTTTTTATTCCCCTAAATTCATTATAAAGTTTATTTAACAGCTTTAAAAAATTCGAAATTGACATGGATAGTCTAGGGAACATACTGTATTAATGTACTCTACTGCATATAATTTGTGAACATTTACATGATTTGAACTCTTTGAACTCCCTTTCAGGCTAAAAGGGACTGAAAAAATTTATACCGAGAGATTCTTTAAATTCCCCTCTAATATTTATTCTATTCTCTTTGACTGTCACGTGATATCTAAGAGGAATTTTTAAAAATCGTTTTTTTGTTTTTTTTTGCCTTCATTTGCTCCCAGGGTCAAAATTTGGCATATTGTAAGAAAATCAAATGTTTAAAACTTTAGAATAAAGAATTTGGATATTTTTTAAACTTCTCACCTTTAAAAGTAAAAAAAACCCCTAAAAAACGAAACAAGAACTTATAGTTGGATGAGGTTAATGCGGAAATAACAAAGAATTTTTCCAAAGACGTGGCTAATAGTATACTAAGAGGACAATATTTTTCAAGAAAATAGGTATTTTTTACGTTGCTACTAATAGTATACTAAGAGGACAATATTTTTCAAGAAAATAGGTATTTATTTATATCATGCATTCATGCCTATTGTGTGCCCTGGGACAAATTTTCACAACAATTAACTGTTTAAACTAATTAAAATTTTATGAATTTATATGCGCTGCATGATTTTATAATTTCTCATTCTAATTAGTTGGAGAAACTATAAATTGTACTACAGGGAAGGATTATTTTTAATATTTCTTTTTCCGGGGCGTATTCAGGAATTTGTCCAGGAAAGGCCTAAATTTTCTTTCGTTCTATGGGGGGCTAAGCACCCATTGGGGCCAAAAATCCCATTAAAAACCATAGATTTCACTGCCCCAGAAGGGGGATGAGCCCCCTGAATACGCCTTTATTCTTTGTGACAAAATATGTTGTTTTCAAGTATCAGATTAAAGTTCTAAATATGTTTTTGCATCATAGGATCAGTAAATCCAAACAGACACGTTTAACTCATAGTAGCTATATAGATCACCGTAACATGGTTCTTATATCAATGCATGATCCGAACCAGCACTAGGATTTTAGTGTAATCGAATACCACTAACAGATTTACTCGTACTAGCCAATCTAGTGAACTTAGCGCGTTTTATACAGCAAATATATGCTATTATAGCTGGACACGTGAAAGATTGGTTTAAGGTATGATAGAGATCAGAGTTTTCTTGTTGAGAAATGGCAGTTATTACATCAGGACCAAAAGTGTAACCGTTAGAACCAAAATTGTATTCATGTGGTTCGGTGGACCGGTGTTTATTAACCAAAGTCAAAGAATTATGATGTAAAGATAACGTTATTTCAGAGGTGTACGCATTATAGTACTGCAGTGTACTGTCTCTGGCCGGGCGGTAATGTAAACACAAGACGGATGTCGAAGCCTGAAATGGGAACCATCTTTCACATAACAAATCAATGCTTTTATCCTCCTCGGATACTAGAGTAACACTGATGCATCTATTCTTGTTTACAAACACCGCCTACAGAAAACTGGTCTCAATATATACGCGGAGAATACGCAACAACAATTAACTTTCCTTGCATTAGTACATTGATCCCAAGGTTGCCGAAAAAATCGTTGAGAATTTTGCAAATTACTTCTTTAAAATTAAAGCTTAAAAAAAGTCCTTTATCGTTCGAAAATCTACACGTCTAGGGCTACAAATAAGCAATAAGTGATTAAGTGAAGTAAAATTAAAAGCCAAGGCGTCGCGACACTTCAAAGTCGACCCAGTCTTAAATATTGATAAAACTTTTCAAAGCTGTCTAGATCTATGTGTACCGTTTCACAAAAGAGTTTCCAATCTGGACCAAACCTTCTCCATTTTTCCCCCAACATTGTTTAGTGTTAGACCAGCTAAATACATATTTTTAGTATAATGAGACATCCTAGAAGAATTCGAATTGTAACTTGTTATTTTTGGACAAATTACTGACTAAAACTTACAAAACGCCAAACCAGCCAAAATAAAAGATATTTTTATAATTACCTTATATACCCGTTGGACAGTTTAGCTCCTCTCCGCCGAGATTGAGAGAAACTGAACTGCTGGTATTATGAGAAGTGTGTAGAAGATAGAGAAGTATGTATACATGATAGATAGATAGTTAGGAAGGATGGATTTAGCGGAGAAATACTCCGGGTATAAGGACGCAACAGGCTACTGTCCGCTCCATATACCTCCTCCAGATACCGGTATACCTACTCTTAGATACAGGGGAGTCAGAGAACATAAACGGACTGTAGTCGTAAATCAATTAACTATTAGTGAAGTTGTTTTTCATAATATATTTAATTATCTTCAAAACTTTTCTTTTATGTTTTAGTTATTTAGATCTTTAAAAGAAGATTCCAAAAATATTTTTAAATTTTTTCTAGCAAAAAAATTGACAATTTTATAGATTCAAAACTAAATTACAGGGTGTTCTTTTGGTTTTTTTCCCGAATTCAAAATCTTGTTTTTTTGGATTTTATAAAATTGAAAATAAAAAAAAAACAATTTTGAAGTTACGTCAAATATAAAATATGTTTTGAAAACAGGAAATCCTGGATCCGGATCCATCATCACGGATGCGGATCCGAATCAAAATGATATGGATCCGAAACACTGGAATCAAATATGAGTAAAGGGGTTCCTGAGCTATGATCTGATATACAAACATGCCCTGAAAAAATGTCCCCGCGAATTGTCACAGTTCCAACAAATTTATATTTCTCCTATCGTCTTCCTCGTATGCATCAATTCATTGCAGACAACTTTCAATTTTAATTTTGATTTCGAAAAGCTTCCCTTTAGTTACTTCAAAACTTGTAGTTCGAAAAAAGCTTGTGAACAAACAAAACTTAAAGCAGAAGTCGTCTTGTTATATTAAAATAATCGCCGATCACTTTACAAAATCCTCTTTCCTTAGATTTTCACTGTTCTGTTCTCTTTTTTTTTTGACAATTTTGTTAAAACTATTCCATGATGTATTTTTTTCATGTATTCAATTCATTTTACAACAGCCCAACACTTATTATCAAGAACGGAAGAACGAAGCTAAACATGATCTGGACTGCTAATTTTCCTCACTATCTCGCTTATATTGTTTTGTAGTACTAAAACATATTTGTTAGAACTTTTAACCACTTATTTAGCTTCAGGTTCAAAGTAGCAATTGGAAAAATTCTAATATGGTTTTGCTCGACAGCTTGCAACCTTTGGATCAATTCAAAGTAAATAATATCCCGGGTTACAATTATCTCAAGGCCTTGAACGATAAATCTGAGAAGAACAATGATTACTGTCTGTAATTTTACAATTTTTCTTAACCTTATTAAGTTATCCTATTTGATTCAGTAGAATTCATCATTTAAAACATTTAAGGTCTACATACATTTTGTTGCAAAGATTTAAGAATTATAAAATTAGTGTACGAGATAAGTTATCAGTTCTCCATTTTAACAGAACGTACAGGATTATTCACAAAGGATGAGATGTCAGAGACGGCATTACAGAATTTATACAGACTCATCCTAATAGATTATGATTTCCACATGGAGTATAAAATAGAAGGGAGGTATAACTGATGCAGCCCGCCCAAGGAGTATGAAATAGAACGGAGATACAACTGACGCAGCCTGCCCAGGGAGTATGAAATAGAAGGGAAATACAACTGACGCGGTTCGCCCTATCATATGATTAGACATGCTTTGCAGACGGGTACTCCATTTGTATAATAAATATTCAGAATAGGTTATTGTATACGCGGTAACTGTACATCAGACAAATGTTTCTTATTCAAATGGAGTACCGTCTGCAAAGCATGTATAATCATATGGTAGGGCGGGCCGCGTCAGTTATACCTCACCTTAAATTTCCAGCAACTGGAAACTGTAAACTGTAAACTTGTTTCGTTATTTATCAAATCCTCAAATAAGCCATATAACAACAATATTCAAGGCAGAAGACTTCACAGGCTCATCCCTTGAATTTCATTTTAAGTAATTTCTTCAATAAAGAACCTGAAATTAACAAGACAATTAAGGAACTACTTGGGATAAGAAAGTTTCAGATCAAACTACTAAATTCTCAATTTAAGTATTTTCTTCAATAAAGAACCTGAAATTAATAAGACAATTACGGAACTACTTGGGATAAGAAAGTTTCAGATCAAACTACTAAATTCTCAATTTAAGTATTTTCTTCAATAAAGAACCTGAAATTAACAAGATAATTAAGGAACTACTTGGGATAAATAAGTTTCAGATCAAACTACTAAATTCTCATTTTAAGTATTTCAGTAATAAAGAACCTGAAATTAACAAGACAATTAAGGAACTACTAGGGATAAACAAGTTTCAGATCAAACTACTAAATTCTCAATTTAAGTATTTTCTTCAATAAAGAACCTGAAATTAACAAGACAATTAAGGAACTACTTGGGATAAAAAAGTTTCAGATCAAACTACTAAATTCTCATTTTAAGTATTTTCTTCAATAAAGAACCTGAAATTAACAAGATAATTACGGAACTACTTGGGATAAGAAAGTTTCAGATGAAACTACTAAATTCTCAATTTAAGTATTTTCTTCAATAAAGAACCTGAAATTAACAAGATAATTAAGGAACTACTTGGGATAAAAAGTTTCAGATCAAACTACTAAATTCTCATTTTAAGTATTTTCTTCAATAAAGAACCTGAAATTAACAAGATAATTAAGGAACTACTTGGGATAAACAAGTTTCAGATCAAACTACTAAATTCTCAAGCATTTCTGCTTGCATTTTATCACAGAGGATTAGAAAGTTGATGACTAAAAACTCCAGAAGAATTTTAAAGTTTTGATTGGGGTTCAGCTTATACTTTATTCCCTTCAGCTTATACAAAACATTCTAGAGAAAGAAAATTTAATTTACTTCATAAAATTCAACTTCTTAACCAGATGTTAAAACCTCAAAAAACTAAGTTCATAATAAATGGAATTTACAATAAGATTCAATTCAATATTTGGCGTTTAATAAGGTGACAGAATTTTTTGCCAAAAAAAAACAACTTGCTGTCAAATCCTCGAATCAAATCATACAGTAAGAACCAGAAAACTCTGGAATAGGACTTTAAGACTCAAGTTAGGAATTTAAAAACAGGAATTCACAAACTTGAAGTTTAACTATATTTTTACAATTAATTAATGACAATCAAAAAGTATAAACTTTGTACTACTTTATTATAACAAATTATTTCTTATTTTATTTTAACATTTAGTCGACATAGACTCCATGGACACTATTTCTCTATCTAGTAGAGACATAATTTTGTGCTTAAAAAAATGTTTATCTTTTATTATATCTAAAATAATGATAATAAGTAAGGATATGCTCAATTATTTTACAATACTTACAAAGGTTAAACTATATATAAATGTTAATACACCGTAAAGTTCATGAGAAATATATATTTTTTTTGTTCTTCGTGATATATTTTTATATTTAAGATTGATTTAAGCATCAAGTCAAGTCAGTGTCTGAAACAAGAATAGTACCGGTGTCCGAATTTAATGAATTTAAGCTGCGCCTCAAATCCCCCCAAAACCGGTTTTAAATGAGCGCCGGCTTAAATCTTGTAAAATTGATTAAAATTTAAAGTGGGAACAACCATATTTGAGCCGCGGCTCAAATTTTTAAATTCGGTATTGATGATCTAACTGTAACCATCTGGATCCGGTATGACCTAAATGGGACCATTTGGATCCAGTATAATCCAGCTAAAACCGGTCTGATCTACAGATGTCGGCGTTTCTATCAATACAATGAAGACGACTTTTCTATCGTGGTTTTGATTTCTAACAAGATTTTTTCAAATTACAAACAAGCAATTAGAAGCTGTTAATGGACAGCTTCTCTTTGTTTCCATGTTTATATGTATCTACTATCTATGATATCTAAAATCTTGGTAGAAATAAAAATTGAAATAAAAAAGTCTTCATAGTATTAATATATACGACGGTTCGATCTAGTAGGATCCGCTATGGTTTAACAGTTAGCTGGAACCGGCAAGCTTAAACTAGCTGAATCCGGTATGATTTATCTGGAATCGTAGGATCTGGTATGTATGATGTAGCAGGATCCAACATGATCTAGCTGGAACTAGCTGGAACTGTTATAAAAGTGCTGGACACAGACTAAATCCGGTATGATCGAGCTAAATACCGACTGAACCTGCCATGATCTAGCTGGAAACCGAGTGAATCTGATATGATCTAGCTGGAAACCGACTGAATTTGTTACGATCAAGCTGGAAACCGACTGAATTTAGTAAAATATAGCTGAATACCGATTAAATCTGGTATGAACTAACTGAATACCGACTAAATCTGTATGAACTAGCTAGAAACATACTAAATCTGGTATGATCTAGCTGAAAACAGACTGAATCTAAAATGATCTAGCTGAAAACAGGCTGAATCTGTTATGATCTAGCTGGGAACAGACTGAACCTGGTAATAACTAGTTGGAAAACGACTGAATCTTTGATCTAGCTGGAAACAGACTGAATCTGGTATGATCTAGCTGGAGACCGGCGCACACATCTCTTGAGCTGGAGGATTGATCGGAATTTGACCAAGCTGGAAGCTAGAGCTTGAATATGCTTGAATATCCTGTTCTGTGAGCTCCTGAACAACAAGGGCAGATTTCAGTATGGTTTTAAAACCGTTAATTATTCATGTATTTTAATTCTCATGAACCATTTTTATTTATTATATAAATATCTCCATTAGAAAATTCTATTTTCCTTAAAAGGAACGCAAGCGTAATTTTAAGTGACCCTCCATGTAAAGATGGCGATTTCCGATTTACAAGATATCCTTGAAACCCTAATCTGATCAAAATGTGGAAGATATCGTCGTTTTTTTGGCTCAACCTCTTTCTTTCTAAAATATTTTCTCCTTTGCAAGGAATGCCACAGTCATTTTTTGAGAGAAACCAAAAATGAAAATGAACAGTTTAAAGAAACGAAAACATTTCAATCTTGATCAGACAAAGCTTTGAAGGATACCGTTGTAAACCGGAAAGTGTCATCTTTACATGGAAGGTCACTTGCTTACAGTCCCTTTAAAAAATGAACAATAATGCTTGGGCACATATTCACATCACTATACTCATCTTTCAGAAGAAACGGTCAGAAGAAACGGCCGATCCGAACAAGTAGTTACGCGCGCCTGCCGCTTTGAATTATAAAGACAGAGAGAGAGCCTGTTCTAGCCGCGGCCAAGAAAGAGCCGTAAAATAACCAAACCTTTAAATATATACTATAATCTCTCTCTTTCTTGCAATTCAACGCGGCAAGTGCGCGTAACTTCTTTTGAGCAACTGCCTTTAAAACATACCGATTTTTTAAGGCCTGATTTTTTAGCTTTTACTCTACGGAATGCTGGTTTACTATTATTATTATTATTTTTGAAAAAAATAGTTTAGTAAACCTGAAGAGTGGAATAGACACAGGAGGGATCTAGTTCTCCAATCAAACTTTTACCAAACAACCCTGAAATATACAATCTTCATTAAAAAGTCTTGAAAATTATCCTCTTTTCTTTTCTTTAACACTAATTTCATTTCAATAGCTCCTTCACCTAGCCGGGGTATGCCATACAATCCTTTCAAGTAAAAATATAGAATACTATATTTTTAGGGCGCTTCACGTCCATCGTCGATTTTAACATTTTCAAAATTTAACAAAAATCAACAACTTTTAAGAAACAAATTTTTGTAATTTTGAGGGTCCATAAACCTTCCACGCGGTCATGCAAGGTCCCACACAAAATTTGGGCCGGATCGGTTCAACCATTTTGACTTTTATTGAATACAAACAGACAATCAAACACCCAGACACCCAAGCAAAGTATATAGAATATTGCTCGATACCAAAGTATAAAATACTAGCACTTGAATATACTTGGGAACCCAGCGCTGCCAATTTTACTAAAAGTTACTCCAGTCGTTTAGAAGCACTTGAACGATTTGACCGGGCAACAAATTTTCGCTATATCAAAGTCGACCCACTCAACTTAGAATCCCAAAACGAAGCTAAGAACATGTCCGTGGGTCTCCCGAGTTCCCCAATCAAAATTTGAGGCAAATCGGTCTAGGGATTCCTGAGTTATGCTCGGACAAACAAACAGACAGACAAACAGAGATACGACTTTATATGTAGATACCAAAACATCAGTGTTCCAAGAATGATACAGTTTTACCTATAAAAGATGAGACTTTGATGACCTCAAACTCTTTAATTTTGTAGATCTGTATTCTATAGTTACTTCGTAATCGGTGTTAAATATTTGGTCTTAAACAGTGTTTAGGAACCATTCCATTTTGATGTGGACTCTGAAACAAATGGATCCTGGCCCTACAAAAGATTTACCAACTAAAAGCAAATAATTTATATTGAGCCAGGAAGCCAAAATGTTGCAGTTCCAACGGATCCGGATCCTAAGAACAAGTCTTACATAGGAAGGAATAAAAAATATTTTAGAGAAGAAACCAAAAAAGTGTAAAGCGCAAGGAGCTGTGTATCTTACAGTTATAACCAGAAAACTCTGGAATAGGAAGTCGACTTTAAAACTGAAGTTATGACTTTAAATAAGAGCTATGACCATGAGGCCCAGTAATTGTGCAGTGTAAACAGACTTATTTTAATTCATAAGGGATTTAATAACTTTCTAGTAGAGATATTTGCTTTGAAACAACATGAAATGCACTTTATTAAAGCTTTAATGTCGTCTTCCTATTCCATAGTTTTCTGGTTATCACTGTAGGAAAAGGATGAATAAATTTTCTACACTCGTCTCATCTTTTGAGTGTAACCCTGCATCATAAACATGTTTTTCCTTTGACAAATAACATTTTAAATGTTTTAAAATGTGAATTATGTGCATAATAGTGAACATTAAACTTTAAAATAGAAAAAACAAACTCACTTGAAAAATGTCGTATTTCTAAGAAGAGAAAGAAGAATGCAAGCAATTTAAATTCAGATGAGGGGGAAATTTGTTTTTATTTATAAAATTCAATGGCTTAAAATCAATTACTGTGATCTCAACGGTAAATATTTTTTGAGAAATATTCCTCATCCTTGCAAATGACGCCCCCCCCCCCATCCCCACCCACTTTCCGTTCAAGTAATTTTTAGATACCACTTAAGAAAACATTTCTCCACAGTTTCATGGGCCGGGGAGGGGGTTATAAATGCAATCAAAAATTGTCCCTAACATGATAATCGTTTAAGTGTCATCACGTAAAATTTCTCATATTATTTCGCATATTTTTGGTCAAGAAACTTTTTTATTCTCTTTATTTATTTTCAAAATACAGAACGAATATTCTTTTCAACCTTATAAAGGAAAACTGTAACAACGAGATATACACATACAAAACTCTGGATGAAAAAAGTTTTTTAAACCAATTTAGTTTTTACATAAAAATTCCTTAGCGTTTATGAAATACAGGTCATTATTGTGAATGAGAAAAATTTATGTTTCCTAAAGCCGGCAAACCATTACAAAAATTAGATTAAGAGTTAAAATTATTGAGATAAAATATACAGGGTGAGTCGAAAAAGTGTGAAGGAGAAAAAGCGCGTAAATAAAATCAAGATTAATTTTCAACGTACCTGAAGGTTGAGTGGGTTGACCGATAGAAGAGGTGGGGTCAGAGAATATATCTCCTCCTGCAGTACACAATCAAAAAGATAAACAAACAACTAATGGCCGCAGCAGTATTTCACATAAAAGGGGATTCCAAAATATTGCATTAAAAAACTCATGACAAATTTAACTGTATCAAATTTCCCTATTTTTGGTAAGTTTCCTTCAGTGCTTAGGATCCGGATCCGTTGGATCCGAAAGATTTTGGCTTCCTGGATCCGGATCCGGATCCACAAAAATATGCGGATCCACGGATCCGGATCCAACCAAATATCAACCAAAAACTGCAAAAAAAAACTTTTTTACTCCTAAATTCCAATTCTGAACTTTTGAAAAAAAGAGATTATAAAAATTTCTTCATTTCTGAATGGTTAATCAAGTTTTAGGATAAAAATAAGCGAAAAAAATAAAACAAAAAATTTGAAAATTATTTTTGATATAAAATATCAGTAATTCTGAACGAAATGACCTGGATCAGGATCCATTTTTTTCCAGTGCGGATCCAGGATCCGAATCCGGATCCGCATCAAAATTAAATGAATCCTAAGCACTGGTTTCCTTACAGGTCGGAGGAAGGTACACATTTCTAATTTCTGATTTCGATTTCTTTAATTAACTTTAGACATAATTCCAAGTACTTTTTCAGTTATTGAGTGGCATGTCCGATTCAAAAATGTTATCTTAAAAGCTTTGTCTGATCACCAATACAAGAGATAAGACATAAGATACCATTAGGGTGACTCGCAAAAATTCTCCCAAATAAAGATTTAATTTATTCGAAAAAATAATGGCTTGTTCAACGAACTACTCAGGTAGTTCGATTTTATTGGGTACACAATAGCAGTACTGTGCACACCACCAACCTCGTTATATAACGCCTAGTTGGCCTTTTTTATTTGTTTTAGCTAGACATCCCGAAAATTGCTTAGACGCAGAATTTCTTCTGGATTCTTGGGGCTTAGCTCTTCCAGCCATCGTGCATCTGAGATTTCTCTCAGAGTGTCCCGCAAATCTACCAATCCATCATCGATAAAAGTTAATTTCAACTGATGTTCTCCAAAAGCGAATATTGTAAGAATTTGGCACTTTTCAAGCTAGGATAACGACGATATTTAAACATTATTTGTCAGAAAAAGTTAATAAAATTTACATAGTATTCTTCTATTCAGACTGAATTTTTCTCATTGTTTTTAATATTTTAGGTAACTTAAAAATTATCATTAAGAGCTTTACTTTTGACCGCAAAAATGTTTCTACAAATCAATACTGAAGAGTAAGTTAGTCTGGTAATAAGCTATCCCCGGCATCAAACTTTGTAAATTCCCACAAGAAGTATCTAGTTAAGGATTTCCTTCAAGCTTTTAAACTTTTTTTATTAGATCCTAATTCCAGGAACTAGGATCCAGGAACAAGGATATAACAATGTACCTAAACTTGAAAAGGGGGATAACGATCGAGTTTTAAGGGGAGAGGGGAGGCGGTAGAGGGTGTGTAATTTTATCTTTTTATTCCTGAGCTAGGTTGAAGAAACATTGTGCCTCCATCCTAAAATAAAAAAAACAAACTAAAAATAGAAAATAAACTAATAAACGACGGATACTCAATGTTCAAACAAACTCTCCATTAACAATCAAATTGATGTTTTTAGAAATTAAAGACGCCCTACTCCCATCGTTCAATCGCGAAGTGACAATACTAAAACACGGTTGAACAATGGTCTTATGGCTTGTAATTGTTATCAGGGATTAACCTCAAATACTTAATATTGAGCACTAATAAGAAATTTGCAAAAATAAAACTTATCACTATAATACAGCATTTTCTGTCATTCAAACTGTACCTGTGGTGGCTGACTGAAAGGAGAGCTTGTTCCAAAAGTCGATGAAGGCTGTGTACTAGACGATACAGCAGGTTGGCCAAATGTTGAGTCTGAAGGTTGGCCAAAAGTTGAGGATGCAGGTTGGCCAAAAGTTGAGGATCCAGGTTGGCCAAAAGTTGAGGATACAGGTTGGCCAAAAGTTGAGGATGCAGTTTGGCCAAAAGCTGGTGCAGTGGGTTGTCCAAAAGTTGAAGCTGCAGGTTGACCGAAAGCTGGTGGAGGCTGTCCAAAAGCTGAGGCTGCTGGTTGGCCAAAAGTGGGATTAGGTGGTTGACTAAAAATCCCACTTGAAGGTTGAACTGGATTACTGGAGAATATGCCACCTAAAGTTAAGATGTTGAAAAAATGTTTTAGTGAGTGAAAAATGAGTTTGTTTTTTGCTGACTCGTAAAATGTAAAGATTAAATGAATTCATTCATTCCATTCAATCATAAGAATAATAAGGACAAATCATAACTTTCCTAAATTTACGGGATTTTTGTCAGTAAGGTTAAATTTTTGTTAAAAATTTTTTCCCAAAAATTTGTTAAGGGTGATTATAATATCTAGATTTAATATATTTAAGACATTTATTTTTAAACAATAAACAAATTTCACCTGCCGGTGCAGTAGCTCCGAAAGCACTTGAGCTCCCTCCACTGCCTCCAAATATTCCTCCAACTCCTGAACTAGATCCACCTCCACCAAATATCCCTCCCCCAGATTGTCCCGAGCTGCCTCCAAAAAGGCCTCCTGCCGAACCTGATGTAGTAGACCCACCTCCAAAAATACTGCCTCCGGTAGAACCTCCAGTTGATCCTCCTCCGAATAATCCTCCTGAATTACCTCCTCCGCCAAATATTCCTGCCCCTCCTGTCGGAGGTGCACTTCCAAAAGCACCTAATTCAACCAAATTGATCTCAATTAAACCCGATCAAACCAAATTGAACCAAACCCTACGCGTGCCCCCTCTGAGGGAGGGGGGGGGACTCATGGGGGGTCTTCTAATATTACATCTTCCTCAGGCAATCTACATTCTACATTGCATTGCATTGCACTCACCCAAACTAAAAGATTAAGAAAAGAAATAAAATATATTCTGATTCACAACAATACTCTTCAAAGCTTTGTCTGGGCAAGTATTGCATTAAATATTCATGTTTCCCATTTTGAAAACTGAATATTTTTTTTGTGGTTTCTCTGCAAAAGTGACTCGCACATTTCTTGCTTCAGAAACGATGGAGAAATAGAGGGTTCAAAGGTACATCAGACATGCCACTCAATAAATGGAGGGTCACTTGAAATTACGCATGTATTCCTTTAATTATAATTACATCGTTAAGAAAAAAAAGTACTTTAAAATCTCACTTTTGCCCTTAACTAAAAAAGTTTCACTAAAGCTATAATCAATACTGCCTTCAGTGTAAATATATATTTGATATCATAATTTATTATGAAATATGTATCAATCCTATGAAATATAGATATTTTTTAGAAACATTTCCATCTATATTTTTCATCCCTTGAAGCTTACACCACANAAGAAAATTACATAAATTTAAGTTTACATAGTTAAGAAGGGTATCAATATTTTTTCAAAAAAGGGTTTTTTTAAGGGGGGGGGCAAATTGTTGCCAGTGGGGGCCACAACATGTGCCCCCCACTACACAAATGCTCTCGTACGCACCTGATTTAAACTAAACTAAACAAAACTGAACCAAGATGATCCGAATTAGTTTAGAATAAACTGTACAAAACAAAATTAGACTAAAATATACCGGATTGAATAAAGTCATCAAGAAACAGAGATAAAATTAGACATACGGATTTCTCGAAGCTTGTAAACAAAATCTTTCATAAATTCAAATATACTAACAAAGCACAAGTAGAGGTGTACATTCTATTAAAAAATCCCTGGTGTATATTTTCTTGAAAAATCATTCCCCCTCGGCCTCAACCCCCTTTTGGAATTTTCTCCACTGATGTAGAATATGTTTTTAGGGTCATATTTCCCGAAGTGGTTGAAAATAAATTAGTTTTAGAGGAAAATAAATTAATTATTGGGAAAAAAAGTTTTAATAAGTATGAAAAAACTTGACTTTTGATTTCCATTTTTTTTTCTTCCAATTGTTAAAACATACACCCCTGTCTACTTCTGTTCTGTTAATTGGATTTATTTGGTTTCCCTGTTTGTGAAGTACTGTTGCCTCCAAATAATGATTTACTAGGGCTTCCAAACAATCCTGAAAAAAACAGTATGAAGGGGTAGAGATGGGCGCGTTCAGCTTTTTTTCAATTTGGTTTGTTCATTGTTCGTGAACGACCCATTTGGTTCATTTTTTTCAATCGTTAATAACAAACTTGATATTAATCGTTCTTATAATTATCGTTCATTTTCCATATGTTTCGTTCGATTTCTCACTGAACGATTTTCAGTAAAACGTTCTTTCAATAAAGTAAAGTTTTTTCAAAAAGTTAGTATGAAGAAATTGTTCGTTTCTGAAAATAAACTATCGTTTTTATAAAAAAAATTTCGACAAAATCGTTACTTACTTACTAGATCGATTAACGATTTTAAATAATTCCTTTTTGTTAAAAAACGATAGTTTTCTCCTTTCCCTGAACAATCTAAGTCTTTCATTCATCGTTTTTTTTCTTCTAAACAAAACTATCGTTCACGAAAAATTTCGTTCGTTTACAAAAACGAAATCCATCTCTACAGAGATAGGATTGTTCCTTCCTTAAATCTTCCTGGTTCCCTGGTACAGGATGTTTCACTAAACATAATAGTTGAAACGAATTTAATACCTTTTTTGATCTAAAACCGCTAAATAATGAAAGTATGAATCAAAAAAGTTATAAACTTGTCTGTTTTCATAATGTGGTGTTCCTCGTATGTAATTTTAAAAATGGGTTAAATTGAATGTTATACAATTTTGGGTCATCTCTCCAATATCATGTTTCATGGGACACACTTTAATTGTAAATCCACACAATTTTTCTGGTTAACTTGAAATAGCGTCTAAAGTCACATCAAGTATTTTCAAGTGACCTTCAAATAAAAATCCCCCATTCACTTTTTAAACTTTGGGCTGATCAAGGATGAAATGCTTTTCCTTATTTCTGTACAGAAACCCTTGTAATTGTTGAACACTATGTTTGGAACCTGTTTTAAAAGAAATATTTAAATTAACTTTCTAAAAGTGGAAGAATATAAATATCCAGTGGAGCTTTTGAAACCGCGTTGAACAAGGAATATTCTAGATTTGCCGTAAAATAAATGTGACGTCCGGGTTGATTTCACAAAATACGCTAACTTACACTCTAATTTTGCAGCTTATCAGTCAACATTTAAAATTTAGAAATTGACTGAGTACTCTTTCCTCGATGAATATCCAAAGGTTTAATGCAAAGTGGGTACCCTTGTAAGTCGGGAATGTCCTTATTTAAAATTTTGTTTACAGTCCCTTTAAGCTGAAGGAAGTACCTGGGGCAGGAGAAGACGATGATCCTCCGAAGAGACCTTGAGAGGATTGTGTCGGAGAAGAGAATATTGAGGCTGGACCGGATCTATAAACAACTATCTTCAACCAGTTTATGGTGCATGTTGGAATTTTTGTTATGAAAAATGTGTGTGCGCTAAGCACAAAATTGGGGAAAATAAATGATTTTTATGAGGAAATTACTTGTATTTTAGTGAAAAAAGTATATAAAAAAGTTGATGGTTCATGTCCAATTTCTTATTTATTCCCCGTGGTTACAAATAGTCACTACCCTGAGTTAGGAATGTATAAAGGGTACTGGGTAGTATGGCTGAAATGTATTTTCTTTACTGCATTACAACGTAAAAAAATTTCATCCACAAAAATTCTTTGATAATTTTCAAAGATTTTCTTTTTATTTTAGATAAAATAGATTGTAATTACCCCAGACTGTAGTCACCAATGGGTTCTTTGTTGTATATTTTGACAAGAACTTGTTTCAACTGCTGATCAGGGGTTAAAAGAAGATTCCGCTTGGACATATATTCCTGCAAATAAGATAATTAGTTTTTAGAATTTGATACATTGTTCAAAAATATTTTCTTCCTTCCACACTAATTTTGTTCTTTCTCTGTCCTAATTGATAAGTCAAGATGGAGATCTATAGTTACATTGTAATATAAACTATAGATTGAATGTTAAAATAAATAATAACATCAAGAAGTAATATCTGTTTGTCTGCTTCTTTGTTTTTATGTCCAATCATAATCTCAAGACTACCTTGACCGATTTGCCTCAAATTTTAATTGGGGAACTCATGGAGAACCTCGGGAATGTTCTTATCTTGGTTTAAAAGTTTTAAGTTGATTGGGATGACATTTATAGAGAAAGTTTAGTGTCCAGAGCCTGCGATTTAAAAACTTCGGCTCGAGCCGTAATTCCTTAAACCCGACTTTTAGACCCAATCTTAGACTCAACTCTGACGACAGCTTGGGTCACGTGATTGGCAGCTGCAAGATCTTCGGCTCGACTTAAGGAGTTAGGCTCAATGAAAATAAAACCGACCATGGTTGGTTTTAGAGGAGAATAAGGCTCAATGTTGCGTCTTGTTTAAACCACATATGTACTTGCGTATACATTTTTCTCAGCAAAAAGTTCGTATTAGAAATATAATTTATAACGAAGTGGATTTGCTATTAGGAAAAAAAAGAATGTAGAAGCAATTTCAAATAACCCTCTATTTCTAGATGTAATTTTTCATGCAATCACAAAAAAACCTTTCTTCATTTGAATTTTCGAAAAACCGCTTTTGACAATGACAAAGAAAATTCAGGATTTTCTTAATTTATTTGGTCGTCATTTGCATGAAGTTTACACTGTCTGTTACATTAATGTCGATGATTAACCACAGATAATGAAAGGTTTAAGGGTACTCTTGTGGATCGCCAGGTTTAAGGGTACTGTTGAGGATCGCCAGGTTTAAGGGTACTGTTGTGGATCGCGATGTTTAAGGGTACTGTTGTGGATCACCATGTTTAAGGGTACTGTTGAGGATCACCGTGTTTAAGGGCACTGTTGTGGATCGTAATGTTTAAGGGTACTGTTGTGGATCGCCATGTTTCAGGGTACTGTTGTGGATCGCCATGTTTAAGGGCACTGTTGTGGATCGTACCTGCTTTAATTGTGCAACTTTAGTTTGATAATTTGTACTCCCTGCCTTCACATTTTCATACGCTTCATACCTCAAATAAAGAAATTTCATAATTCCTTGTAAATCAAAACAGAGCTGAAAACTTTAGATAGGATATCCTTAATCCCGATCGCTTAATCTGAGTATCCAATTTTCTTCTTCTTAATCCTCTCTTTTGGATAACCCTTTATAATTACAGATACGATGCTATAACGGGACCTCTTTTTCAGATTTCTTTTCAAATAGTTCAAATATCGGTTGGACTAATATCCTATTGAACTCAAGTCAGCCTTTCACAAGCCTGCTTTTCGAGAATTTAAACTAAAACAAGTATAAAGTTTATCATGTTAATATGAACTTATTAAAAAACATAATTATTACATTTGAGGAGTATAGTCATTGTGAATGTTAGTCTTAATAAACATTAAATCCAAAAACTTATGTTTTTTCAATCGATCATTAGTTTTGATATGACACCGCAAATTCGGAAAAATAAAAAACCGGGTTTTCAAAAGTTAAAGAGCACATCTCTAATCTATGGAAATTAATCTAAGGGCTAAATTAGTCTGGAGATTAGCAAAAAGAGAGGATCAAGCATTGATCTCGATATCCACCATTCTAATTAGTTTTCAGCCGAGGATATATTATTTTCTCACATATAAATAAAATCAGACTTCTAGACCTGTCATACTTCGCTATACCGGAGTCCGAATTTAAAGAAAATTGAGCCGCGGCTCAAATCCACCATATGCCGTTTTCAATTGAGCGACGACCTTAATCTTGAATTATATACAATTTTAAGTGAAACCAACGATGTTTGAGCTGCGGCTCAAATTCTTTAAATTCAACCTTTGGTTTTATGATTTGTAATGATTCAACGAATTATTCAGTCATTTTTTAATAAATGTAATTTTCACGGACAACCGACATCGGGCCAGTCTACGTTTAAATCGTTATTATGAAATGAAACCACATATGTACTTGCGTATACATTTTTCTCAGCAAAAAGTTCGTATTAGAAATATAATTTATAACGAAGTGGATTTGCTATTAGGAAAAAAGGAATATAGAAGCTATTTAAAATAACCCTCTATTTGTAGATGTAATTTTTCATGCAGTCACAAAAAAATACTTGTCTTCATTTGAATTTTTGAGGAAAAACTGGGAGAACTAAACCTCTGCACTCTAGTTGTAAGACGAAAAAAATTCGATATGGTCCAAGTATTTAAAATCCTGCGTGGGATAACGTCGATTTTTCCACCTGGTTCACATTAGTAGGAGAAAATGTTGTCAGACTTACAAGAAGTACGGCGTACGCCATGAATTTAATACCCATTAGGAATAACACCGACATCAGGAAAAACTTTTTTAGCAACCGAGTAGTCTCTACCTGGAATTCTTTGCCCACTGAACTAAAGAAATCTAGAACCTTGAATACCTTCAAAACCGGACTCGAGAAAATAAATATATAATCTATTATGTGCCTAGGACAGAGAGCTAAAGGTAAAGCACAGAAGCCAAGTTTGATTGATCTCTGTACAGCAAGGACAAGAAAAGAAGTCTGCGTTAATGGACCACCCGATCTTCTGCAGTCACCAAAACAAGTAACAAGTAACAATACAAAGAAAATTCAGGATTATCGAGAACTAGTTGGTCGCCATTTGCATTAAGTTTACACTGTTTGTTACATAAGTATCGATGATTAATCACAGATAATGAAAGGTTTAAGGGTATTCTTGTGGATCGTAATGTTTAAGGGTACTGTCGTGGATCGTAATCTTTAAGGGTACTGTTGTGGATCGCCATGTTTAAGGGTACTGTTGTGAACTCACGTCTGCAGACACTTAAAAGCTTTTTTTACCTTAATTCTTCTGGACTGAAATCTGTTAAACCAGGAATACTCGGACAATCCTTTGCACAACTGAAATAAAAATTGAAGGTAATGTTACATCGTCTATACGCAACATCCCCCATACTGAACTTCCGACCTACTAACTTTCCGACCTACTAACTTTCCGACCTACTGTGATATTGAACCTATGCCAGCTATTTATTTTTGCATTATTTGAGGGTTAAGAAAATTCTGGGACGAGCGCTCCGGCTAGGACAGGCTAGGGGCTGAGCGCCGCGGCTAGGACAGGCTAGGGGACCGAGCGCCGCGGCTAGGACAGGCTAGGGGGTCGGGCGCTGCGGCCACAAGTCCATATAGCAGCTGTAAAACCACGTACGTGCTAGTAGGTCAGATGTGTAGTATGAAGATTTGGCGTAGGTTAGAAGTGGCGTATAGCGGATTTGCGTAGGTCGAAAAATACACCCCCAAATTGAATCCTTTAAAACTTGAAATTGCAGGATCCATTTATTTTTTAAGCGGATATGGATCAGTCATGTAAAAACATGGACCCACAAAAATTCTTTAAGTTTTAGAAAAAACATATTTTATAAAATTTCGCGATCTTTATTCTCATATTTTTTTTGAGAAACTTTATATCCAAATTAACGAATACGACATGAGTTAACTTGCAAAATCTATAAAAAAAGTGTTACTACAATTAAAGTGGCCCTGAAATTAAGTTCTGGAATAGTCCTCCTCAGTGCTGAGGGTCAGGGTTTGATGGATCCGCATATTGTGTGTTGCCTGGATCCGATATTAATAGAAAAAGGGGAACCAAAATATTCAAAAGTCACAAATGTCAAGTGTAAAGAAACTAATATATTAAAGACGATATAGAAAGTCTTCAATTAAAGGGATACAGGCGAAATTCTATGTGACCTTTCATTAAAAAAGGAATATATCCGATCCAGTTAAAGGTTTAAAGGGTACTATTGTGAATCGGGGAGGGGCCCCTCTTTAAATGGAAGATCATTTGAAAAACGCTAACAGTCACTTTAATATCCGTGTTTTTTTGGGACACTCTATACAATACCTGTAACAAGAAAAGACCCATTGACCAGATTTCTCCCATGATTCCATATCTTGCTTGACAGTGTTAACAATCTGATTCACCACATCCTGGCTAGTACCAGCTCCACCACCTTTATACATAACACTTGACATACAAAATTCCTAGACCACCTACGATCAAAAATTTTAATTTGGGGTTGATGCGGGTGCATATTTTTCAGATTTTATAGGCTTTACAAACAATATGAAAAATGTACATCAAAAGGAAAGGTTTATCATTGTTTGTGGTACTTTTAACCTAAATATTCATAAAAAACCCTAAAATTTTCTGAACGCTTTACGCTACAGGGAAAAAAATATTATATTTATATACCCCTATATTATAGTTTACCCAAATCACAACAAAGATGACTGCATCTGAAAAATTCCTCATTAGAACATTCAAGTCGATATTCACGAATATTTATTTATCTCGCCGTCAGAACACGTCATGAATATGCAAAACGGAATCAAATAGTATTGGATTTGGATCTAAATATATTTACATAATAATTATAATACCTTGCGAGTTTGAACCAAACTTGTTTGGAGCAAACACATTTCCCTGGCTACCGCCAAACATTTTTTACAAACTAAAAAATCTGAAAACTCAAATATAAATGACCGGCGCTATAGTTCAGAATAAATTTACTAGAACATTAGTTAGTATGTGACTTACAGGGTTTATTATAATAATAATAATTCTGAACCAAGATTAAAGAATTTAATTATTGGGTAATTTCCTAGTATACGATTTTTGGACCCCCCCCCCCCCCCTCCTATCAATTTTGTACATGGGTGTGAAAGGAAGTTTCTTAACTTAACCTAACCCTACAAAAAAATGTTTAAGGTTTTTATTTTACGTATTTTTTAGGTTTTTTCTTTACTTAAAAAATTGTATTTTTTTTAGAGTTTAAAAGTTTGATGCAAACCTAAAAATACGTATGTTTTCCTAAATTTCATACCAAGAAATTTGGCAAAGTTTTTATGTTTTTATTTTATGTATTATTACGTTTTTTTAGGGTTTTTCTTTACTGAAAAAGTTGTATTTTTTAGAGTTTGAAAGTGTGATGCAAACCTAAAAATATGTATATATTTTCGTAAATTTCATATTAAGAAATTTTTCAAAGTTTTTAGGTTTTTATTTTACGTATTTTTTAAGTTTTTTCTTTTCTTAAAAAATTGTATTTTTTAAAATTTTGATGCGAAACCTTAAAATACGTAAATTTTCGTAAATTTCATACCAAGTAACTTTTCTAAGTTTTTAGGTTTTTACTATACGTTTTTTTATAGTTAAAAAGTTTGAGGCAAACTTAAAAATACGTGTCCGTAAATATATTCAATATATTCACAAAATCTCAACTGCCCAAAAATGCATTTTTAAGTTAGAATTTGAAAATATTTTGTACTCTTTTTAAGTGAATTGTTCTGGAAAATGCAACCTTTCAAAATTGCTATCATTTTTGAATAAATTGATGTTTTCATTAGAATCAATGTCAGTAAATTCTCGATTTTTGGATAAATAGAAGTTTTACTTTGACAGTCTTGTAAGTTGTATTATATGGATAATTGTATAAAGTATAACACATATTGAAAATACAGACAAAATGCATATATCAATGATGATTTGGATGGATACAGATGAAGGAATGTTGATGGTGTGAATTGGATTGAAAATAATTAATATTAATGAATGTGGATTTAAGAAATTTGTGGAATTAGTTGTAGAAATGAAGGAATAAGTGTATTCAGGAATTTGATCCGGGGGGAGCTCAGCACGTCTTTTTGGGTCTGAAAACCCCCTGAATTCAATAGATTTCACTGATCCAGGGGGGGGGGGCTTAAACCCATCCTCCCCCCTGAATAAAACAATGCCTATGCAACATTTTGGTTTTAGAACATGAAAAATACGTATTTTTACGTATAGGTAAACCTAAAAATTCCAAAAATTAAGAAATGTTAGGATTTTTTCAAACCTAAGTCTACTTAAAGGAAGAACCTAAAAATTCCCGATATCATTGGATTTTTTAGGTTTTTTACATACGCATTTTTACGTATGTCATGTATGTATGTCAGATTAAATACTTATTTTTACGTATAGGTAAAACCTATAAATTCTGATTATTTTTAGGTTTTTTAATTACGCATTTATACATTATTCATATACATATTTTTACAGATATTAAATAGTATTTTTACGTATAGGTAAAACCTATAAATTCCAAAAATTAAGAAATGTTAGGATTTTTTCAAACCAAAATCTACGTATAGGAAAAACCTAAAAATTCCTGATTCATTGGATTTTTTACATACACATTTTTACGTTTGTCAAATACGTATTTTTACCAAAGAAATTGTGAGGAAAATACGTATGTCATATGTATTACTAAATATAAAAATACATGTATTTACGTATACATGTCATACATATTTTTAATTTTTCGGGTTAGTTATAGGGTATAAGCATTTTCCGCAAGAAATGTTTTTTATTTGCCTTATTACAATCTTCTTAGTGCACTCAATGAACAGCAAATTTTTTTATGTTCTTTACTAATTATCTCTTGAGTTTAAGATTTGAAAAGTGCGAAAGCTCTGAGATCAAGGGGGGAGCTACGCCCCTTCTTTAAAGGTCCAGGGTGGGGCACTGCCCTTGCCCCCCCCCCTGTATACGCTCTTAGTATGATGTGGGGCACGTCCTTTACAACGTATAACAACAGACATTAAATTAACATCTTTTTATAGAGTATAGTAACGTCATTTTGACATCACAAAAAGACATCAAATTCATGTAAAAACAAACTCATTTTAATGTCAACAGGACGTCATTTTATGACATTATAGATATGATGTCAAGTATCCTAATTATGTCAATTAGATATTAGTTATATCATGTCATATATTTTGAATGTTTGAGTCATCATTATGACATTATTTGACGTCACTCTACCCTAATTTGTATCCAATTTATGAAACCTAACATCTCAATGACATTCACATAGGATTTTCAATTAAAAATAAATTTTTAACTTTAATAATTTATTTTTATTAAATTTTACAATATTTT